TGCCTAGTGGATGGCATTTGGTAATAAGCTCCGAGATAGGCCGTTCGTGCAATGTTCCAGTGATAAGAAGAACAATATTGTCTATCATATAACTATACCTATTAAAGAGCACAATGACAAGAGTGAAACAAGAAGTACGTTATGTAATCGAGGAAGAGCGCAAGTGGTTGAAAGGCCTGATTACGCATGTAGCGAAACTCGCCGACAAGTTTCTCGCGTATTTTACTTTCAATTATTCCAACCGTCAAGGGTCCCGGTTCATTAGCCAAAAAGTTTCCATAATCAGTGTCTTGCAGATGCAACTTTAAGTCTGCAAATATAATGGCCGGAAGTAACTATTACCTTCTAGATTTTCACACTGAATGAGAACTAAGTAATCTGATTGTTTCAAAAGACCTCCTTTAAGTCCCCGAACAAGGCCTTCAAGGTACCCATTATCAACATTAAAGTTATAAAAGGGGACAGTATCGACTTCGTTCATTTTAACAAAAACGATAAAACCGCTTCTAGAGTACAGCCGATTAAAACAATTTTATGTCTTCCCATTTTTGATTTACATAAATCGGTTTAAATTGATTAAATTCAAATAGGCACTTCTTATCCGGTGAAAATTCAATCGAGGTGCAGTCCTTATTATCACATAAGAGAAACGTAACTCGATGTTGACTTTCAGATTGATGGAGGGCACAACCTGATCCTCTGAATTTCACTCGTAATCCACGTATAATTACTAGTGGAAACGCGCACGTGCATAGAAATTGCATTTTGTCACCAAATTTCCATCAAATGTGCTTCACATAGTCTACCTCTGGTCAGAATTTAGTCATAGCACTGGCCACCTGATATATTTAAAGAGAATACAATCAATAAAATTCGGCCGCTGGGGATTCAGTTTGTAAATCATTGGAATGGACTTCTGTTGACCGGCCTCGAATTCCAGTTCGGTCTTTTGAAGAGATTCACACGGGTATAGGTCCACGGGAAAAGAAAAACATTTTCCCATAAATCCAATATCGTCGTATAACATTTGTTTTATTTTTCTAGGCAAAGGGGAACACAGCATACTCATTACATCATAAAGACTGGTTGACCCTGTAACTAGAAGTACAAATAAATGGGAAGTATTACGTTTTAGTGTATTATCATATTATTTACCCCACGCGAGTATACAAAACTCCAGCGGCGTCCGATGGAATTGAGAACTGTACAAGGGAGGCACTTGTTAAACAAAACTAGGTGAAACCACATAGAGACCTTTGAGTAAGTAGTCGAAGTGATAACCAGATTACTGTAGACGAACGATAAAATATCCGGTAAGCCAAAAGATCACACCGTAGGAATGCACCTGAAGATTATTGAACAAGTAACTAATAAGGTCGACCGGGACATAAGTAATTCCAATGTCCAAATTAATCATTAAATCGGACCACCTAATTATCGGTGTTTACGGCGTTATTTGCAAACAAATTGTTGGTCACGGTCTCAGATACTTCTGGAAATGCAGCATTACTCTCCTTTCGGTTGGCGAAAATATTGCTATGCATATCGTTTTACACCTAGAGAAAGCAGGCGCACCTCATGAAGTCTCATCACCAAGACACTCAGAAGTTGTGTTTAAAGACGAAATTCGGATAAAACAGTCTCAGCTCAAGCTTTTTGGACGGCTACGAACAAAATT